TTTTTTTTGATCACCTTTTTTTTTGAATTGGAATAAATACAGATCTCTTCCAGTCAGCTGGCCAAGTAGTTGTCCTCCAGATTTATTGGCACATCTTGGTGAGCACATGCAGGGCAGCATCTGTTTGCTGGAATATGTCAAGTGGTATTCCTTCAATTCGTGGGGCTTCCCCCCCGCCAAGTTCTTCAGAGCAGCCTGCACTTCCTCCTTCATCACCATTGCCTCACGCTCATACGTTGTTTCTGGAAATTCTTCTGTGTTAACTGATTCTTTTTGGTACAGTGACTCTGTATACTCCTTCCATCTGCTTTTAATGCTTCTTGAATCATTCAATATCTTTTGATATGCTTTTTTAGGTACTAAAATGTCTTATTTTAATTACTCTATGATATAGTAATCTACTTTGATAAATATCGATAGTTATAGAAAGTCTTTAGGCCTTTTGTTCATAGGATCGCTATGAGTTGTGCTTGATTTGATGGCAATCAACAACAACAACAACAACAATGTAATCTACAGTATTGGTTGGTTCTTTAATATTTTCAGATTTACTGATTAATGATTCAAAGAACAACTTTCTTTTGGGCACCTTTATCTTTCCTTTCCTTTTTCCCCCCTTTGGCTGCTGTTATCATGAGTGTGGATTGTGGATTCAAGTGAAATGAAATCACTGACTATTTGAATCTTTCCTTCATCTATCATTATGTTGTCATTTAGTTCAGTGGTGAGTGTTCTTTTCTTGATGTTGAGATGTAAACCATTGAAGGCTGTAGTCTTTGACCTTCTTTATAAGTCCTTTAAGTTTTCTTCATTTTCTGCAAGAAAGATTGTGTCATCTGCATAACAGGGACAAGCATCCATTAGTAATTGGAACATGGAATGTACAAAGTTGTCCAAGTTTCTCAGAAAATTGGAAATTGTCAAAATGAAATGGAATCCATAGATATTGACACCCTTGGCATTGTTGTAAGGTTTTGTTGAATAGAGTATGACCCACAGTGACTGAACTCTGTCCTGTACTGTACCAACCTCACAGCCTCTGACACACTTGAGCCCATTGCTGCACCGTGTCAGTCTACCTCATTGAAGATCGTCCTCTTCTTTGCCACTCCCCACCCCCCTCTAGCTTTCCAAGCATGATGTCCTTTTTCAAGGAATAACCTCTCCTAGCAACATGCCCAAAGTATGTGAGACAAAGCTTCACTATCCTTGGCTCCAACATGCACTTTGGCTGCACGTTCTCCAAGAAATATCTGTTCGTTCTTTTGGAAGTACTTGGGGATATTCCGTATTCTTCTCCAACACCACATTTCAAAGGTATAACTTTTTCTTCTGTCATCCTTATTCATTGTCCACCTCTCAGCAGCAGAGCAACTTATTGAAAAGGCCATGGTCTGAATCAGGCATACTTAAGCATCATCACTTCTCAGAAATTTGGAGAGGTCCCTGACTGCAGACTTTCCCAATCCTGATCTCTTGACTACTTGGTACCAAGTGTATTGATTGTGGATTCTAGTAAGAATAAGTTCAATCTTTTCTCCATCTATCATAATGCTGTCTGTTGGTCCAGTGGTGAGAGTTTTTGTTTTCTTGGTGTTGATATGTAATCCATCTTGAAGGTTGCAGTGTTTTATCTTCTGCAGCTAGTGTTTCAAGTCCTCCTGACTTTAAGCAAGCAAGATTGTGTCATCTGCACAGCACATGATTTTGATAAGTTTCCTCCAATTCTGATGCCACATTCTTCTTCATAAAGTCTGGCTTCTTGAACAACTTGCTCATCATACAGATTGAATAGGTATGAAGAAAGGATACAGCCCTGATGCACACCTTTCTTAATTTTGAACCATGCTCTGTCCACACAACAGCTTCCTCATCCAAGATTCCCTTTCTTCTCAATATTAACCATAATTTGTCATGATCCACGCAACCAAATGGCTTTGCGTAGTTAATGAAGCACAAATAGACTTCTTCTGGGGGTTTTAGCTCTCAGCCAGGATTCATATGACCTCAGCAGTGATAACCCTGGTGCTATGGTCTCTTCTAAATACAGCTTGAAGTTCGGTTAGTTCTCTATCTATGTACTGTTCTAGCCATTTTTAAATGCTCTTCAGCAGTAGTTTGCTTGCATGTGATGTTAATGATATTGTTAGATAATTTTGACATTATATTAGGTCACCTTTCTTGGCTTTCAGAATAAACATGGACCTCATCCAGTTAGCCAGGCAGGCAGCTGTTCTCCAAATTTCCTGGTATAGTCTGGTGAGCATATTCAGGGCTGCATGTGCCCTTTGAAACATGTCAATTGGTATCCCATGAATTCCCTGGGTTTTATTTATTTTTTTTTTGTGGGGGGTCTTAGTTTTTTCTAATTGAACGTCTTCCTTCCTTACCATTGGCTCTTATTCATATGATATTTCCTGAAATATTTCAATGTTGGCCAATTCTCCTTTGGGCAGTGATTATGTATATTCCCTCAATCATGTTTTGATGCTTCCTGTATCATTTAAGATTTTTGCCTATAACATCCTTCAGTAGTATTGCAAATCCAAGCTTGAATTTGTTTTTAAGTTCTTTCAGCTTAAGAAATGCCCCATGAGTTCTTCCCTTTTCATTCTCCAATTCTAGGTCTCTGCATGTTCCATTATAATAGTTTGCTTTGTTTCTGGAGCTGCCTTTTGAAATAATCTGTTCAGCTCTTTATCTTCTCTTCCCTTTGTTTTGGCTTCTTGGTACTATACTGAAATTTTCAGAGTATCTTCTTCTGATGTCTATTTTGGGTTTTCTTTCTCTTCTGTTTTATAGAGACCTTTTGCTCTTTTCATGGATGATATCTTTAATGTCATTCCACAACTCATTTGGTCTTTGATCATTGGGGTTCAATGCTTTAAACCTGTTCTTAAGATGATTTTTAAATTCAGGTGGGATAGACTCCAGAAAATATTTTTGTTCTTGTGGAACTGTTTTCATTTTCTTCAGCCTCAATCGGAACTTGTGCATAAGTAATTGACGGTCTGTTCCATAGTCAGCACCTGGTCTGGTTTTGACTACTGATATTGAGCTTCTCCAAGGATTCCTTGCACAGATACAGTCTGATTCTTATGCAGTTCATCTGGTGATGTCCATGTATAAAGTTGGGGGGTGTGTGTGTGTGTGTTTAAAGCTATTTGCAGCAAATAAGTCACTGAATGTACAAAATTCAGTCACTATTTCCCGCCTCATCTCTACCACCAAGCCCATGCTTTTTCCAACAACCATTCTCTTCACTGTTTCCAACTTTTGCATTCCAGTCACCAATTACCATTAAGACATCTTGATTGCGTGTTTGGTCAATTTTGGGCTACAACATTTGATAAATATTTTCAATTTCTTTCTCTTTGGCTTTAGCTGTTGGTGTATATCTTTGAATAATAATTGTATTAACAGGCCTTGCTTGTATACAAATGGATAAAATCCTGTCACTCCCAATGTTGTACTTCAAGATAGAACTTGAAACTGTCTTTTTAACTATGAATACAAAACTATTCTTCCTCTGTTTTTTATTCCTAACTTAGTATACCATGTGATTTTCTGATTCAAAGTAGCCAAAGCCAGTTCACCTAATCTCACTAATGACCAGTGAGAAGGACTTTCCACCTATCTCTATCATATTCACTCAGGCAGAAGCCCTGACCAATCAACTCTTGCCAGGCATTGCTGACAGTTTCTGGACTCACAGAAGACAAGCAGTGGCAAGGAAGAAAGGATCTTCCCCCTGTCTCTGCTTTGGGCCCGTAGGCCTAGTGCGGAGCACCAGCATACCAGACCCAGTGTAGACATCTCCCTCACTGGGATATTATCCTGCTGTGCTAATTGTATACCTCAGATGGAAAATCAGAAAGACTAAGCCATGGGAAGACCATATATATAAGCTCAGATATAAGGACTTTCCTCCAGAACTGTCAGAGAAAGAAAACCTTCCTTACAGCTGGTACCTGGGATTGGGACTTGGAGCCTCCTAACCTGTGGGACTTATCTATCATTTCGTTGTATTGGGAAAATGATTTGTGTATTGCTATTTACTTTGTAGCTTGAGTATCTGTGTTCTTGCTTATTTATCATTGTTCTAGCTAGTACAGTATTTGTCTATCAGTTTGCTGTACTGAGATAACTCGTGGGTACTGTGATGCTAAAGGCTGTACAGCCAGGGTGTCAAATGCCAGAGGGGTCACCCATGGTGGATGGGTTTTAGTAGAGTTCATGGATTAAGGCAGACTTGGAAGGATTGGATATCCACTTCTGAAATAGCAAGTCTCTGAAAAACCCTATGATCAATAAAAGAACACAGATATAGTATTAGAGGTAGAGTCCAAATTTAAAGTCTGTCAAAATGAGAAGAAACAGCTGCAATCTTAGGCATTAGTGAGCTGAAATGTCCTGGTAAAGGCCATTATGTCATATTCTCATCAGACACAAGATGAAATCATCTGTGTATTCTCTCACCCTCACTTAGTATTACACAGTATGGGTATTTAGTTAACTGGACTCTCCTAGAGATGGTTATCAGGTTGATTTCAGATGTCTGGTGTTACAAATGATTCCACCAGGAATAACTGCATTTATTTTTTGGTATGTGTAGGCAGATTCTGGGATCAGTTCCTAGAAGCATTATTAGTGTGTCAATAGGCAAATGCATTGGTAATTTTGGTAGATTCCCCATCTTGTGTGTCTGCATCACTTTACATACCCACTATCAGTGAAAGGAGCCTTCCCACCACCTCCCTCGAGGGGACTGTCAGCAGTGGTTTTTGTTTGTCTTTCTGGTCTTAGAGGTAAAAGAGATTGTTTTGGTGAGCTGTGCTTTAGGTTTTAGTGCAGGTCTTCTCTGTGTTGGAGTGAATTAGGTGTGAGTGCAGTCCCAGGTATGTGACTATGTGAACATTCATGGCCCCGTCTTGCCTCTTTCCCCCTTCCCTCCAGTACGCAGCTCACATCACAGTCAAAGGGGTTTATTGTCAGGTCCTTCACACAGGCCTGTAGGTTCCATTATAGGTAAAAGGGAGAGGCGTCCAACAGGCCCCTGTCTCCTCAGGTATCCAGCGCTGCACATAGTTGGGGCCTGGGTCCCGAGGCCACACCATTATAGTCTCCTTTGCTGCCAAAGATGGATCCTCTTTGAAGAAGTTGAAGGGCCGCAACAGGAAGCCCACAGAATTTCCAGGTGTGGACGTGTTGGGAATGTCCTCTGAGTGGGGGATGTGGAGGAAACCCACTGTCACCCAGGCCACTAAGTCCTATGGGAGAAAAGCAGACAGACGTGAAAAAGGAAAAAAAGACCATGGCTTTGATGAGGGTAATGCTGAGTTCTGACCAGTAGAGGTCACTTGGGCTCTTGGATATTTTTGATCATGTTTAGACCCTTTCTTCTAAAGAGTATGTTTAAAGACTAAGAAGTGCCTGGTCCACGCCATGGCATTTTCAGTTGCTCTCTATGCATCAGAAAGTTGGACAATGAATAAGGACGAAGACCAAATGATGCCTTTGAATTGTGGTGTTGGAGAAGAGTATCCCATGGACTGCCAAAAGAACTAACAGATGTGTTTTGGAGGAAGTGCAAACCTTAGAGGCAAAGATGGTGAACTTTGGTCTCACACACATTGGACATGTTGTCAGGAAGGACCAGTCTTGGGAAAGACATTATGCTGGGAAGGGAAGAGGGTCACAGAAAGAGAGGAAGACCTTCAATAAGATGATGGACACAGTGACTGTAGCAATGAGCGTGAACATAGGGGAGATCAAGAGGGTACGGCAGGGCAGGGCAAGGCTCAGATCAGTTCACAGAGTCACTATGAGTGACAGTCAACGGGAGGGCACTTAACAGTGACAACAACAACAGAAGCTTTCTGCATCACCTCAAGCTCCATTTGAGGGGTGGGAAGCTCTAAACACCTCCAGATGTTCTGATCTTCCCCCTCATCCTATGGTGAATGCCAGTCCAGGCAGAAGTGATGAGTATTCTCTACCCAAAAGGGTGGTTTGGGGTTTGGGGCTGAAAGGAGGCAGGACCAGAGGGCCGGGGGTAGGGTCAGTACCTCATTTTCAATGTTCTCATTGTTTCGAAGATACTTCTCGAAGACAACAGGTGGGTCCCAGGGGTCATTCTGGTTGTAGAGGCTGCTACTGCACAACTCGGACTCCCGGTACCTGGTCACCGCCAGGGGGTACCTGCCAGGACAGAGGGCAGCCAGCTAGCTCTGGGTCTGAGAGCCCTCCTGACCTTTTCCAGAGGCATCTGTCTTTCCAAATTGAGAGATAATCTTCCAGGAATCAGTGAGCTGGCTACTGTCAACAGAGGCTCAGGGGTTCTTCACCCTGTTTCCTAAGTGCACGGGCATGAGGGCGTGCGTACACAGACACACAGGTAGACACAGAGACACTGATGGGGCAGAGAAATAGGAATACAAACCAAGACACACACATGGACACAGACTCTGAGAGAATCCCAGCTTCCCCTCCAGCTCACCTGGCCCAGGTGACAGCTTGTTCCTCCTGCCAGCCTGGGAGGAGCACCTGGTCAGCCATGGAATTGATCTGCACTCGGTAGCTGCGTTTGTGGCCCCAGGCGTTCTCTTTGGGGCTGGAGAAGAGCAGGTACTTGGGCAGGGTCTGGCCAAACCGGAAAGAGGCTTGACGCTCAAGGGAGTGCTGTGTCTGTTCCAGAACAGGCTGCAACAGGTGATGTCCTGGGCTCCAGGGATTGCTGATGTTTTGCAGCTTGGTTCTCAGTGTCTGGAAGCTGTTTTTGGTGCCTGGAGGTGTTCAGGAATAAAGGAGAGAGAGGATCAAGCAGAAATGCTCTCTTTTTGCACTGGGTTTTGGAATTTGAGCCACACCCAAATCCAGCTGCATTGTTGTTGTTCTTATTATGTGCCCTTGAGTCTCTTGCAACTCATAGCAACCCTGTGTACAACAGCCCTAAAAACTGCTCTATACTGTGCCAATATTCCTGTCTCTGACACACCTACTTCATTACTCCAGTCACTGAATCAATTAGAGATTGAAAAAAAAAGGAAGTGTTTTTTTGAGAATGAACTGAGTGGAGTGTGGGCCCAGAGGTTCTGTAACTTCATACTTTGCCAGGGCAGCTGTGGCAGTTCCACTGTGGCTCGGGTGGGGCAGATCCTCTGAGGAGCTACCTCCAGCCTGAGGGCCGTGGCTTTGGTCCTTGAGAAATAGGACTTCTCACAGGACTTGGGTATCAGGCTGTGTCCTTCCGGACCCAAAGGGGAGAATAGCTGACTTTGTTCTGTGTCACATTACTCACTCGCCAGGGAGGTCTGGTGGCTTAGTGGTAAGTAGTTGCACTGCTAGCCTGAAGGCACTTGGTTTGAATCCGCCAACTGCTCTGTGGGAGGAAGATGGGCAAGTTTCTCTATGTGACTCAGAGCCTCTAAAAACCCTCTAGAGGTTCAGCTGTGAGCTATGTACCAACTTGACAGTGAATAACAACAACAACAACAAAAACAACATCGTAACTCTTTCCAGGGACATCCTTAATCCAAGAGACATAATGAGTATGTGTGTCTCCTCCCTCCACAGAGCACCAGTCAGCTAGGTTTCTTACATTCCTGGGCACTAGCCCACACTCTGAGTGCACACTTCTGTTTAACATGGATCAGCCAGGTGGTTGTGACTCACTGGGAGGATTTATGCTTTTCGTATAGGATCCCTGAGTTGGATTCCTGGCCAATGCACTTCAAACACAGTGACTGCCCACTGGTCATTGATGTGACAGCTTTCAGCAGAGCTTTAAGACTAAGACTAGGAAGAAAGGCTTGGCTATATACTTCCAAAAACCAATCACTGAAACCTGTGGGTCAGTGTGTCTCATCCGATTTGATTGTGAGGTAGGTGGCCTGGGACTGGGTAGTGTTTTGTCTCCTTTTACATGGAGTTGCTGAGAGTTGAGGCTGACTTGACAGAACTCATGAGTACTGACATCCTAGGCATCAGTGAGGGAGCTCTGGTGGCCTACTCGTAAGAAGCTGTGCTCTGTGCTGCAAAGGCACACAGTTTGAATTCACCAGCTTCTCCTCCCAGCTGTGAGATGGGCAATCTTCTTCCGTGCAATTTACTGTCTCTGAAAACCTGCTGGAAGGTCAGCTATGGGTGGGTTCCAACTCAACGGCACACAACAACAACAATGACAGTAGCCAATAACAACATTATAGGGTTGGCAGCCCCTGAGAAGGACGTGGTTCACATTGTCACATGCATGGTAAAAAGCTGACACTATTAACTGTCACCACTTGCAGATTTTACAGAATGTTTGGGCAAAGCTACATTCTTTGAAGCTGTAGAAGTTTGGAGCTGTGTGAAGGATGTGTGCCCAACAAGGTCTCATTCTGCTGCCAGTCTGAGTCGTACCTGCCACGTCCAGGTCGATGCGGTAATGCACCAGGTGGGTGTGGATGTTGCCCAGCAAGTGGGTGTGCAGGCGAGTACCGTGGTGCAGACCCTCGGGTGTGTAGAAGGTCGCATGGACGTAGCCAGTGGCATGCATCTTGGCCTCCATGATTCCATTGGTGTAGAAGATGAAATCCCAAATGTAATCATAATTGTAGACTGTGGAAGTGGTCCGCAGCACCAGCACCTGGCCCTTCAGCCCTGCATAGAAGTTGAAGCCTCCACTGAAGTTGGAATTGAAATGCCGCCGAATGGGTACCCCGGTGGGCATCTCAAAGAGACAGAGGGCCCGGGGGTAGTGCACAGGGCCATCAGAATCATAGTAGTGGAAGGCATCTATGAAGGTGGCAGTGTCTGGGCAGTCGATGCCAGGGGCCAGCTCGTGTGTGACACTGCCCAGACCCCAGCCCACGTCCATGTAGTCGGTTTGCATGCCTGCTGGCGTGTGTCCTCCATACAGGGACACTGCCTCCTGTATGCTCACTTCATAGGCAACACGCTCCCCTTGGAAACGTACATCGAGGATCTGGAGCCCTGAGGAGGAACGGAGCCGGAACGCGAAGCTCCAGCCCCCGTAGAGCACAGCGTTGCCTTCTAGCCGGTAGTGGTGGCCTTGAGACTCAACTATGCGAGGTCCAGTTGTGTTTGTGTCCATGGCGAAGACTCCACGGGGCTTGTAGGAGGAAAAGAGGGCCTTCTCCTCACTCCCTGGGGGTGGTAGGTCCTCCAGAACCACCACATCCACCTCTCCTTTGTCATACTTGTAGGCCAGCTCTTCTGGGCTCTCATAATATTTCCCATTGTACCAGACTTTCTCCACCACCCAGCTGCGGGTATCTGAGCTTTCATGGTTCAAAAGGAGTTCCAGGCCGGTGGGGTGCAAGAAGTGGCCCTCCACAAACCGCTGCAGGATAAACCAGCTTCGGCGCTGACCAGAGGCCAGGCCACGGGGGGCCACGTCGGTAAAGGTCAGGCATCGGTCTTGGCAATCTTGGAAGGAGAAGCCTGTGGTTTTGAGGAAGAACTGATGAAGGGGCTTGAGGACTTTCTGCAGGGTCTGGCCTAGGAGGCTGTTCTCAGCAGCGGAGACGGGCCTGGATGTCCAAGATGGGTGGGACCCACGCGCAGGCAGTGCTCGCATGTAATTGGGCAACGGCAGGGGTCCCACTACAAACTCAGTGATGTTGGGCTTCTCCTGAGCTCCGAAGAAGATAACAACACGGGCCTCCCGGACAGGGCGCTTTTTGTTTTCGTCTAAAAATTTCAGCACTTGGAACTTCTTAGGCAGCAGCATCTCAATGAGGAAGATGGAGTTCTTGGCCATGGACAAGGTCGTGGTGTGCTCCAGTGCCAGCTGCTTCTGGGACCAAAGAAAATTGTGCACGGCCTTCAGCTCCTTGGCATCCAGGTCTGCAAATACACCGGCCTTGCTGTGCAGGGACCAGCTGGAGGGGTCGGCTGCAGCCAGCATCCTCAGTGCCAAGATCCCAGTTACAACCCAGCAAAGCACCAGGGCGTCTCGACCCATTATTCTGCAATGTGGTAGAAGATAGAGGGTTAGTTATACCATGGGGTCGGGGCAGGGGAAGTGAGTCTCCACCACGCTTGAGCCTTCGGTACAAAGTCCCTTAGCTCTGGGGTTTCCTATAAGCCTAGCTGCTCCCTTCCTCATGCCAATTTATGTCTGAGATGGATTGACAGTGACTGCAGCAATGGATTCAAGGGTAATGAGGATGGCACAGGATAGGCAAGATTCAGAACTGTTGTTCATAGGGTCATTATGAGTCATACTCGACCCCACTGCACCCAATAACAACAGCAACAGCAACAATAGCAGCAGCAACAGCAGCAACAGCAGCAACAGCAGCAATAGCATCAGCACCAGCACCAGCACCAGCATCAACAGCGTTCGGCTTTCCCCACCCATAGTCTGTAGTACTGTGGCTGTTATCCCTTCACTGGCTTACAAATCAATCCTCTCTGGGCTTGTATGAATTTTTTTTTTATCTGTAACCCCCCTCAACTCCCCTTTTCTGCACATCTCATCTTAGCACCTCTCTTTGCCTTAGCACCCAAGTTGTGAAGGCTACAACTTTCAATGCCAGCATGTTCCAAGTTGTAACCAATGTGGAAGGATCCCGCTTTGACCAGGCCACAGACCTGTGAGCTGCCCCTTTGGAAGGCATGGCTGGCTAGGTTCCTGCTAGCGATTCAGGCTAGTGGTGCCTTCTTTCCATTCCCATTCACTTCTGAAAGTGGATATGGTCTTCACCTCATAGCTTTGTTCCAAAACTGCCAGCAAACCCTTGTGTATGGAGCTGAGAGGTTACGCTTATGGAAGCCATGACTCTGCCCCCAGTATAGCCAATGTTCTCTGGCAGGAGAGGCTTTGGGCAGAGTGACAGGAGCCTGGGAGCCTGAGGTCCACGTTCTTAGACTTGGACCATATAAATGAATCACCTCTGGGATATTTCTTTGGTTGGAAGGAAAATATTACACCTTGGATGCTTTTGTTCTAGCCTCTGTTTTTTAGAAATCGTGTTTCACACATTACATATCCGGTGCACAAACATGCCTGTGGTGGTGGTTACTGTTGTCAGGGATTGTTGAGTCATCTCCAATTCATGGAGACCCCATGCACAAAAGAACAAAACAGTTCTGTACCATCCTCATCATCGTTGCTATGTTTGAACCCATGGTTGCAGCCACTGTGTCACAATGTTGAGAGTTCACAAATTAAATGCTGTATTGTACCCAAACCAAATACATTTAATTTGAGTTTCCAAACTGAGATGCAGGTTTGTGTATTCATATTATATGCTGGGCATGGGCTGAGTGTCGTTCTACTGTTAGCTTTTGATTGGATCCCTTTTTATGACTTCTTGCCCCCAAACTTCTTTCTGCATTCTGAGGAAAGGGAAACACCTCATGATTTTGGGATGGGCCCTGTGACCACTTCCTTGTGTTGTATTTAATTTGTACCCAAACCAAATTCACTGTTGTGGAGTCAACTGTGACTTGTGGAGACCCACCTCCGGGTTTCCAAGTCTTTTAGTATTCACGGGAGGAGATTGCCCATGGATCTCTCAAGGAGCACCTGCCTTTTCCATTAGCCACCCAGCACATGACACACGACCCCACCAGAGCTCCTTTCATTTGGGTCCAATGTACATTTCTTGACTTGGAGAGCAGTGTGAGCTTTTTGGTGGGTCTGTGGGACCCCCACTTGGGAACCATGGTTTTCCTTAGGTTTCTACGCTCATGATGTGAGACCCATGCCCAGCTCTGGTTTTGCTCCGAGGACATAAGCCATCTTGGGACCTTCTGACTGCTTTGATACCTGTGTGAAGACCAGGGACCTTGTGGTTTTGAGCTCTTTAAGGTCTACCCTGAGCAAAGCATGCAAGATGGACTGTGGAAGACTCAGAATCATCATTCCTTCTGGCCATGACCTCAGATACCAGGAATAAGATGAGGTCTTTTCATCCTATTCCCTCTTGTCTGGGCCCCTTCTTATGACTTCTTATCCCCTTCTATTTCTGCTTTCATAAGAGATGAAGTAGAGGTCTGGTGATTCTGAGTCCAGCTGGGGCCAGTGATCACTTCCCTGTCCAGATCCCATGAGACCAAGGTATAAGTATGATGTGCAGTGGGCAAGGTGGATGCGACAGTGAGCCCATAAAGGAGAAGCAAACGTAAAGTAGGTGCAGCTGCTCAGCTCCTACATGTCAGCAACAGCACCACATCTCATTTAGCCGTTTACTGCCCAACACACAGGCAGAGCCCAAAGCTCCTGCAACTCCCTCAAGCTTATCCCCCTCTTGCCTGTCCCTCTGCAGCCCTCCTTCTGAGGTTTGCTCAGTTCTGCCCTCCTCACTCTGCTCCCTCGTTACCTTGGTCTCCTCGCTGTTCCACTCAGTGTTCTCGTCTCGCCCCAGGTGCTCCGTCAGAACCTACCTCCGTACTCTGCTCTGGCGTGCCTCTGCCACTGGTCCTTGTCCCTGCTCCCCGACCAGCCTTCCTGCAGCTATATAGGTTTATTGGACCCTGCCCTGGGAGGGAGGGACAGGGTGAGGCAGGGGACAACTAAGGTAGGGACCACAAAAAGAAGGTGGCAGTATGAGGAAATGCCCAAGGCTCTGAAGTTTTCTACTTGGATAGTATCTGTTGCCCCTTGAGGTGTCCAAGTTCTGAATATCTCTCCACCTTCCTCACCTGGTGCCCAGGGCTCACTTGTCTTTCCCTAACAGCATACTTGTTGATCTGCTTTGTCATCACTCCCATCTCTGAAGCACCATCTACAACAGTCTTTCTCTGTGTGCTCTGCTCAGAGCTGTGCCTGAAGCACCTCTCAGAGTAGCTGGTGATCTTCTATGGTCAAGGGAAAAGGAAAGTTTACTACAGGTAGAGGTCCCTTCTGATGACCTGGCGGTAAGGAATTGTGCTGTAAACCCAAAGGAATGCAGGTCAAATCCGTCAATTGCTCCATGGAAGAAAGATGGAACATGGGCAGTCAACTTCTGGGCAATTTATTGAAAACCCACTGAAGGGTCAGCTATGAGTCAGTCCCAACTTGATGGTAAACAATAACAACAACAACAACAACAACAACAACAACAACAACAACAACAACTGTGCTACCTAGAGCAGAAATAAAGACATAGGAAAGGCTAATAGGGACGGGTTCTGGCAGCATCAATAACAGATTTGGACTTTGTAGAAGAGGGAACCAGGAAGGTTATTTTGGGTGAGAGAAGCTATAAAGCTGACCTTCAAGAAATCTCATTAATCATTTATGAGACTTGACCTAACAGATCAAAATGAAGGGAGGAGACATCTGGGGAAATGATAGGTCAGGCGGACTGAGACTGTGGTTTGCAGGCAGGAAGCTTTAACCAGCATCTCGCCAGGAATGTAGTCGTTAATGGAGGTGCCTAGTTACATGGAAAAGGAGCTTGGCACAGAAAGGAGTACCCGTCGTGGGGAAGAGCAGAGTGGGAGCTGTGCATGCTGGAGGACTGCTCAGGACTTTGAATTCTCCCGTGATAATGTAGGCTTTGCATTTCTAACCATACACATCACTTCAGAGTTTATTTGAAGCTTGCATGAAAGGAAATGAAACTTGGTATTTGTTTGCAATTACCAAAGGGCATGTTGTTGTTGTTATGCGCCCTTGACTGTGACTTGTAGAGAACTCTATGAACCCTGTCCTGAGCCAACCTCACTATCTCTGACATATGCGACCCCATTGCCACAGTCACTGTGTCATCCAGGGTCTTCCTTTCTTGAACTGACCCTCCACCCTTCCAAGCAGGATGTCCTTCTTCAAAGATTGGCCTCTCCTGACAACATGCCCAAAGTTTAAAATGATGGAGTTGAAAAAACCTTGCCTCTGAGTTAGATGGGGCCCAGAGATACTTCTGGAAGATCATAATGATGGCCACTTAAGGAGAATCCCAAGTCCAGTTCAAACTCATGTTGGTGGGTGATGCTGGTACTGGACAAATGACATTCATGAAACATCATCTGACTGGAGAATTCGAGAAGAGGTCTGTAGCCACCTTGGGTGTTGAGGTCCATCACCTCGTGTTCCACACCAACAGAAGACTGATTAAACTCAATGTGTGGGATACAGCTGGCCAGAAAAAATTTGGGGGACTGAGGGATGTCTATTATATCCAAGCCCAGTGTGCCATTATAATGTTTGATGTAACATTGAGAGCTACTACAAGAAAGTGCCTAACTGGCATAGAGATCTGGTTTGAGTATGTGAAAACATCCTCACTGTGTTGTGTGGCAACAAAGTGGACATTAAGGACAGGAAAGTTAAGGCAAAATCCATCGCTTTCCACCGAAAGAAGACTCTTCAGTACTATGATATTCCTGCCCAAAGTAACTACAACTTTGAAAAGCCTTTCCTTTGCCTTGCTAGAAAACTAATTGGTGGAGATCTTAACATAGAATTTGCTGCCACGCCTTGTCTTGACCTTCTAGAAGTTGTCACGGACCCAGCTTTGGCACGCACAATATGAGCATGATTTAGAGACTGCTCTCCTGGACATGGATGATGATCTGTGAGAGAAAGAAGAGGGTCAGAAGTCTAGTTTTACAGTCAACTGTCCTATGATGTCAGTGGTGCTGCGTGTTTGCCATGCTGCTATCTAGCCAAGAAGAACATGTGTTAATCTTTGGGGTGCTGAAGGAGATGAATGGGCTTCGGAGTGAGTGTGGCAGTTAAAAAAAAAAACCCTTCATTTTTTGAACCTGCATATTTAATTGTTTTGGAAGGCAATTTCCTTCTAGAGTTTCAAATACAAGACTGCTACAGTGAAATAATAATAATAATAACGATAATAATAATAATAATAATAACGATAATAATAATAATAATAATAATAATAATAATAATAAAATCCTTGCCTCCAAAGAGCAACCCATTTTGCTTTTCCCATGACAGACCTGTTTGCTTTCTTGATAGTCCATAGTATGTTCAATGTTTTCCTCCAACACCACAGCTCAAGGGGCATT